AGTCTCCCTTTGACATTAAATGATAATACCTAGGACTGCCCCATACAGTTCTAATTTGAAAAGAAATCAAAGTAACAGAACAGAATTATCTTGATACAAAAAATATTTAGACTTCTATGATTTGTTCCTGTGTGGTGTGTTGTAAAGATATTATAGATTTAATTTGGTAAAGTACATCCTTGTGAAATATCTTCTACTTATGACACTAATGAAATGATGTACAGATCAGATGCCTGTAGATTACTTGAAGGCAGAGTTTTTGGATGCCCCTCAATTACTCTGCATTTCAATTTACATATTATAGAATAGAATAGTGATTATAAAAAAAGTGAAAAGTGTTTAAATCGGCTCACCATGACACCTATACTAATAACAAGGTATAGATAAGGAAATTTTTTTTAAATTAATACAAAATCTATATTAGTTCAATTCAAGGCTCCCGGATTCAGGAAAAGACAGAATAACCCCATATATACAATTACAACTTAAAATGAAGGTTCTGCTGAGGTTGCCATTCAAAATCTGCCATTTCATTCCTCTAACTACAACTACATCCCACATCACACCCTTCACTGGCGGCCTGTTCACGGCATAGTCCCAAACAAAAACATCTTTTAAACACCAAAAAAAAAACTGTGGATGCTGTAATTCAGAAACAAAAATAGAACTTGCTGGAAAAGCTCAAGAAGTCTGGCAGCATCTGTGGAAAGAAATCAGGAGATAACGTTTTGGGTCTAGTGACCCTTCCTTGGAACCCAACTAAATTAGAACTAAAATTTCTGTTAGCTTTCTTACAGTGTTTTTAGTGGTCTCTATATGGCATTACTAAATTTTTTTTGAAGCTAGTAATGAAAGAAAGCACAGATCTATACTTTGGCATGGTGGCTGCAATGGCTGTTTTTACATTATTCCGGTCTAGAAAACGTGCTGTCTAGTGTAACTTTTTAATCAGAATTCAGGAACAATGTTTAAAATTCACTCACCTCATGTGACAGAGATTATTATTATTTGTGACAGATTCCTTTATCTGAAATATCTGGCAATACCTGAAAATATCATTATTATGTTTTTCTTTAGTTTGAACTTGGTCTGTGCTGTTTCTATTTTGTTTAATTGTACTTTAAACTCTAAAATGGTTTCTAATTTGATGTAATATAGTTAGTCTATTTGAAAAACTTACTTCAAAAAGCGTTATTTAGAAATATCAAGTTGAGGTTGCACTGGCCATATTTAACTTACTTCCTCCATCCAGAAACTGCTTCCTTCCCCAAAATAAATATAACTCAGCAGACGTATTTAATCAATAATGAAACTGCGCAGTTCAGCAAGATCTCATGTTCAGTCCCCTTGTGTGTAGCTCTCAGCAAGAGAATGTTGGTTTAAATGCTCTTGGGTAAAGGGTTAATTACTATCAAATTGTCCCAATGGAACTTTCATATGTGAATATTGGGTTAGTACAATACCGAGCTTTGTGATATAAGCTGTTGACCAGCCTCCTGGCATTCACAGTCGAAGCTCATGCATGAATAATGAGCGCTGGGAAAGGTGCTCAAAAGGGGAAGAAAATGGTGAAGAAAGAAATTATATTTAAACAGTTGGATAGTGGAAAACCCTTGATCTATCAATCTTTAATGTTGTGAGATAGTTATTTTTACAGAATTGAAATTTTTTGTTTGATTGCTGACTGTAATTTAAACTGATTTATTGATTCCAAATTAGTGAATTCTTTTGCAATATTAATTCTGCCTATTTCTGCACTACCAGCTTGCCAGACTGAGTTGAACCAACCTCTATTTCAAGTCAGAAATTGTTTCCATACTTTCAGTTTCATCTTATAATGCGGCATAAAATTGGATATCTAGATGAGGCTATCCTTCATCTCATTACAAAATGCATATGTAACTAGATAACAGAGTTGTTAACAACAATCTATGTTTGTATTGCTATAGGACCATAAGTCATAAAAGCAGAAAAAGACCATTCAGCCCATTAAGTAATTCATTGAGTTCATGGGTGCTCTGATAATCCTCAACTCCACTTTCCTGCTTTATTCCCATAACCCTTGATTCCATTACTGATTAAAAATCTGTCTATCTCTACTTGAATGATCTAAAAGCACAAATGGAAATACATGGTCAAGATCTAATTGCCATTACAGAAACATGGCCACTTGGTGACCAGGGTTGGGAGCTGAATATTCAAGAATAGTTAGGAAGGACAGATGAAAAGATGGGGTTACACTGATAAAAGGCAATGACATCAGTTCATTAGAGGGGAAGGATCTCCTATGCTTTTTCCAATGTGTAAAATCTTTTTGAGTCGAGCTAGGAAACAGCAGTGGGCAGCAGGCTCTGGTTGGAATTATTTATAGACCACCAAATAGTGGAGATAGTGTGGGGCATGCTATTAATCAGGAAATGAGAGAAGCATGTAACATGGGCAAGACAGTCATTGTGGATGACTGACTTCAACTTGAGAAGGATACCAGAAATCACCCCAAGCTAGAAATCCAAGGGTCGAGGAGAATGAGGAGCTGAAGGAAGTTAGTGTTAGTAAGACAATTAAAAAGGAGAAATTAATAGGGCTGAAGGTTGATAAATCCCAAGGAAATGATGGTCTACATCCCAGAGTGTAGAAGAACCTGCCTATAGGTTCAGTATATTAGTATTATCTTTCAAAATGTTATAGTTTCTGGGAGAATTCCTGCAGATTGGAAGGTAGCCTATTATTTAAAAAGGGAGTAAGAGAGAAAACAGGGAACCACACACCTGTTAGCCTTACACCAGTACTAAAGAAAATGCTACAATCTGTTTTAAAGGATGGGATAACTAAACAGAATAATGATCTGATTGGGCATAGCATGGATTTTCAAATGCGAAATTGTGTTTGATGAACTTGTTGTGAGTTTTCTGAAGATGTTAATAAAATTGATAAAGAAGAGCCAATGGATGTCGTATACTGAGATTTTCAAAAGGCTTTTGATAAAGTCCCTCTTAGAAGGCTAGTTAGAAAAATTAAAGAACATGGGATAGGAAGTAATGTATTGGCATGGACTAATGATAGGCAACAGTCAGAAAACAGAACGAATAAATTGGTTATTTTCGCATTAGCGGTCTTCAAATAGCTGGATACCACAATCAGTACCTGGGTACTAGCTGTTCACGATATCTCACTGATTTGGAGGAGGGGAACAAATGTAATATTTCCAAATTTGCAGAAGATATTAAGCTAAGTGGAATGTGTATTGTGAGGAAGATGTAAAGTGGCTTCAGGAGGATTTGGTCAGGCTTAGTGAATGAGCAAGAACATAGCAGATGGAATACAGTGTGGAAAACTATGAAGTTATCTATTTTTGTAAGAAGAACAGATGTGCAGAGAATTTATTAAATGATGAGATTTTGGAAAGTGTAGATGTGCAAAGGGAGCTAGGTATCCTTATCAATATCAACTGGGCCTGTATTTTCTGAAGTTTTAGAAAATGACAGAGGATTTAATTAAAACTTACAATACTTAACGGTTTAGACAGAGTAGATGCAAGTAAGATGTTTTCCCTGGCTGAGAAATTTAGAACAGGGAGCAAACTATAAAAATATGAGATGCCACTTAGGTCTGAGATGGGCGAGAAATTACTCAGAGCATTGTAAATCTTTGGAATTCTCTGCCCAGAGTGTTGTGAAAACTTAGACGTGAGTATGTTTATGATCATAAAATCCTTACAGTGCAGAAAGAGGTCAATCAGCCCATCAAGTCTGCACCAACCCTCTAAAGAGCATTCCACTCAGATGCACTCCTCTCTTAACTTCCTTAACCCCACTAATCCACCCAGCCTAAACATCCCTGAAAACTACAGGCAATTTAGCCTGGCCAATCCACCTAACCTGCACACATTTGGGAGGAAACCGGAGCACCCAGTGGAAACAGCAGAAGGGAGAACATGAAAACTCTACGCAGTCAATCACCCAAAGCTAGAAGTGAACCCCAGTCCCTGGTGCTAGGAGGCAGCAGTGCTAACCACTGTGCCACCATGCCATCCACCATTTAAGGAGATATTAATATATTTCTGATTACCAGTGCATACAGGATTATGGGTTTGTATTGGTTAACAGTCTTATTGACTGCAGGGACAGGCTTGGTGGTTTGAATGGCCTGCTCCTGTTCCTACTTTCCTATCTTGAATTTATTTAATGATCCAGCCTTGATAGCCCTCGGCGATAAAGAATTCCAGCGATTCATTATCTTCTAAAAGAATTAAATCCTCTCATGCCTGTACTCTGAGATTATGGTCTCTGGTCCTTGACTGTCCCACTAGTGGAAGCAACCTATTTGCATTTACCCTGTCAAACCCTTTAAGACTCTTACTCTGACAGTAATTACTTAAATCCAATCCAGATTGCTAGAGAAATAATTTGCATGTAATCACACATTTTAGTCTTTCAATTTGTGTATTCCTTGACCCTTTGTATCTTGGATATTAAAGTATGAAAGACATTTTAATTTGCTGATTTTGATTCGCACATAACTGTTGACTACAGCAAAAGTAAACTGTTGAAACCTAGTTTGTGATAGCCATTACTAATTTAATAGACTACATTAATGATCCACTGTTGTTGCTCTTACTGGTAAGTTATGAAGGTTTAAATTCTCTTTGGAAAAAATTGACAATGTGTGCTGGTATATTTGTGACAGACATTTCAATATTTTATGTCTTTGTGTTGATCTCCCTGGTCTAGAATTCAAAGTGTCGAGAATCTGTAACTGAAAAGAACTTTTGCAGTTTCAGTTTTTTAAAAAAAGCATTTGATGAGACCAATGCAAAACTCAATACTGTTTGTTGTGATTATAATATAATCTTTGAGATCATTACTATCCACATGGTGAACATAAAATTTAGATTTTAAGAACTTAAAAAGCTGAGATGCTTAAAGTGATTTTGCCTTTTCCAGTATGTTATCTCGAGACTAACTGACTGCATAGTACTTATTTTATGTTGTGCATTGCAGGTGGAAATTATGAAAGTGTATTTGAAATAGAGAAGGGTGTTGGCACACTTGTTATCGCAAAGCCGCTGGATACTGAGCACAGGGCCACATATAATATGACTGTGGAAGTCACAGATGGAACAAACTCAGCTACCACGCAGGTAAGGTAGATAGGACGCGTGAATTCAATGTGCATTGCAAATGATAGTGCTCAGGTTCATCATTTCCTGGTGTTTTAATACAATGTCCTTGTTTAATATAATGTTTAGTAATGATGAAAGCCATATCACATTATTTGTTTCTGGTGTCTTAGAAATTATTATCAGGTTAGTTGTTTGGAATTCTCATGTAACGTCATTAGCAGAACTCTTGGAATTAAACATCCATTTCACAGGTGAGGAAAAATACTTTGGTCATAGACTGATGTTTTCATTTCTTGTTCCTGAGCTGCCTTATTGAACATATCATTTTTGTATGTGTATGGCAGTATATATTTACAATTTGAAATGCACAGTGAAAGTTGTAGCACTTGACATATCTGCACTGCATTTGGCAAAAAGTAGCAACATGTTGAAAACTCTATAGGTAGTTCCTTAAAAGTTAACTGCAGCAGGCTGCTGGTTTTATTTCCCTTGATTAACAAATTAAAGATTGTGGCCTGGAGCCTCATGGGAATAAGCAAAGTGGTGAAAATGATGGCTAGGACCA